GACTCATGAACACATTTTACAGCATGACTTTGTTAAAGACTTGCATGGTCCCTAAAGGTGATTGGGCTTTTACAGTTTAGACTGTAGAGTGATTTCTTCAGTCACTCTGTAAAACCGTTTAAATTTCTTGGTAAAGCTTATTTTTAATCTTTCTGCTTTTCTAAGCCACTAACGCCCTGATGAAACTTTTACCTTTGTCTGTGTAGGTTCTTGTTTATCCAGGTCATGGTAGTCTAAGGAGCTTGGAAAGAAAAAACAACTGGAGTTTCCTCAAGACGTTTCATCAGGTGATCTGAATGGGTCACATAACAGTGTGAGGCATGGTCTCACAATGGTTTCACCAAAACCTCTGCGGACCTACGCCTGGGCTCATGTGGTGAGCCACATGATCAATAGTGGGCCAACGACCCTCTTAAAGGACAGCTCCCACCTGGGATTCTCCATCATTCGGTCTTAGAACTGAAGACGTTCCTGGGATGAGAGCTGAAACATCTTAAACTTATACTTTCTTTAGCTCCTTAGACTACCTGTTTTAGTGTCAGATTGTATGTGTACTGGTTTTGAAATTTGAAACTGTTTTAAATTCTACTTAAGGTAGTTTTAAATTTCGAATTTTTATTTTCAAAATGTACTTTCACTGTTTAGCAACTTGGGTGCTGAATAAATACAAATGAAGTAAAGATACAAAGATGCTTCAACATAAGCAAGTTCACAGAAGTGTTACCAGTATAGCTGCCTAGTAGAAGGACTTGTAAGGACTTAATGCTATTATCATTAAAGGCATTTTAGAATATGAAATTTCCAAGTAGTGTTGTGCAGTAACTCACAGTCGCCACAGCTCGTCCAAAGCGGATCACACTTAAATCACTGAGGTCCAGGTGACTGCTATAAAGGTAAAATCCAGATGAGGCAAGTACTGCTGTGGCTAGAGAGGAGACTTTGAGGAGCCGATTAGCCATGAGTCACTGCAAGAGGAAGACGAGGGAGGAGATCAACAAAGTGCTAAAGAAGTGTTTCATTCATTGATAACTCGGAATAATGCTGTGTTGATTCACTGTGGCTGATTCACATCAGGCACTTTGAATTGACATAAAAAGAAAAGTGCCTCTTAATATGAATCTACATTTGAGATCTGATCACGGCAGAAGGTTGCATCTTAGTTTGGTGAGGGTTCAGGCTTCAGACAGGTTGTGCATTACCAAGGACCCCAACAAGAATAAGACAAATATGGACTATTTTGAACTGCCCAGAGCTCTATAAATGCCCAAGAATAAAAACGTGGAGCTAGAAATGTGTAAAATAGGTCCTTTTTTATGTTTTGTAATTCTATCTGCAGAATTAAAACTTACTTACTCATTAAAGGGGGAAGCATTTCACCAGTAGGGGTGTCGAGTTATTGCTGTTACTGTGTAACTTTGGATCTTTTAAGCACTCCCCTTTTATCAGGTTGCAATTTAAAAGAAATGAATGTTAATGATTTGTTTAAGTAAGGTTATACCGACTTACTGTGATATAAACTGGCACTGAACAGGAGTATAGTCTAGCCCCAGTTCAACTTCAGCTGATACGGCTTAAGCACCAAAAAAAGAGGAAAAAAACATCTTGTAAGTGATCCTGAAAGCATCACCTGCGCGTAGAGGGCAGACTGTCCTTTATTTACGGTCAGAAACTGGGACTGTTTTTAAATAGTAAATGTCAGTTACATGTCAATCACCTGGCCTGGAGATCACTGGAGTTTATCTGATTTGTCTAAAAATAAAACAACAATATACATGCAATGTTGTCGCAATAATATCAGCTACCTAGTTTGCCACTTGATTAAAATATTACACAGTGAAAGCACTAGTCTCCTGCTTTTCTTAAGCATCTTTGTGTTGGTGCACCTAAGCCGGCTCGGCGTGTTATGACACTCACCCTGAGCAGCTAGCGGCAGGTCAGCTCAATGAATCACAAAGCAGTTCCTGCCGAGACAGCTCCAAGTAGTGTCTTTGCCTCAGACCGGATTTCGCTGGTGTCTCGTTTCTAAAAGACGCTAATAAAGAACAGGATACGGCGACTGTGAGCTTATCATCACTTGTGTTGTTGTGTTATGCAACAACCGGCTGCGTTTTGTAACAGGCGATGTATGGCTGCACCACCCGGCAGCACTCAGTGCTGACCGGCGAAACTAAACGTCTCAATGAAAGAACTACGAGCAGCTTTACCTGACTCTACAACGCGCGCTGACTGACTGCCATTTATCCGTTTGATTTGACCTCTTCGCAAAATTTCGACGCAGAGGCAAAGGATTCTGGTTAATGTAGTACGGCCTGATATGGAGCCTGTAGAAAACATGGACGACGTAACAGCTCCCCGAAAGTCTCTACTGCCCCCTGGCGTCTGGCTCCAGTATGGCTCATAAACCCCGCCTCCTGTGTGGCCCACAGGGCCGGCCCTAGAATTTTGGTGGCCCTAAAGGAGATTTCATAAATAGCCCCAAAAGATTGACTGCTCATAACTAGATGAAGATGAACACACTTCATTCTTTTAAATGTAGGGTAGGAGAAATTACATGTGTACATGTGTAACCACACAACAAATGAATTTGTTTTCAACTTGTGCAAATTATCCAATAATATTAATATGTCAAAATATGATCTAAAGGATGCAATGACACATAGCTAGAAAGTTAATATTTAACATGGAAGAATTGGGGGCAGTTTAGACCTTTCATCGATTTTGTGTTAAGATAAAGTAAATTAAAACACCACTTATAATTATTTCCAATATTGTGAGAAAACATCAGGTTCTTTGTAACCAAAAAGGCTAGCTATTATAAATGACATTGCAGTTTTACTTAATTTGAGAAGCAAACAGCAAGTAAAGCTTGTTCTAATAAAAAAAACACATTAGCTAAACTAAATAGAATTGTTACGTTTTAGCTGCTGTTTGCCAGGTGAAAATTACTGCGGCTACATTCAATTTAATTTGTTCAAAATGAAATGCTAACTCCAAGTTGCAAAACAACAACAACAACAAAAACAAAAAAACAAAAAACAAAATGCACACATACACACACAAAAATTGGTAAGTAGCTAACAACCAAAGCTAACAATACAATCAAATAGGTTACTCGGTTATTAATTATGTTTACAGTTTGTCTTGAGCTGGCTAACAAGCTGAGGAAAAACAACCTGCCGTTCAGGTTAAAATGAACTGTGGCTATTTACTGTTAAATATGTTCAAACACAATAAATACAACATAGCTTCATCCTTAAGGTAATCACACATCTGTGCTGAGACGTAGCGTTATGATGGCACTGCTCCGATCTTACCCAACCATTAGCCCCAGAAGTCCTGTTGTATTGTCTTTACCTGACAGTATGAAGCGCCTT